GAAAATCAAAATTGACGTGTGCAAAATAATCTACATACCAGACAGATATCAACGAGGTAGATGTTGATAATAACGAAGAAAATAACAATGTGTTTTTAAATGTTAAATTTTAGACTGGGTTCAGTGTGGCAGCAACGTAAGAGTATACACCTGATGATGGCCGTTAGAGGCCGAAACATGTAGTGTAGAAGAGAGAAGATCAAAGACATATAATATATATTGTTTGCACTTGGGATGGAGTTTGTATCATTTATCGTACTGATTATATTGTAAAATAACACACCCCCAAAGGAGGAAGTAGAACATTCATTTCTTAGTATACATGAAATCCTTTCTTTTGAATGCAGTAATAATTTCTGCATATTTTTTGTTGGACACAAGAATCGAAAGTTTTTAATTTTGCAACAGATATCTGATTCCAGTTGCTTATATATTTGCAAACAAGAGTTCAACATATTTGCTGTTTTAATCAATATTGTTTTGTGACATTGTTGCCTCTTATATACCACATCAGTTTGTGTTGGGCCCCATCAGGAGGAGACGTAACTCAGATCCTGATTATGATGTGCCTCGTCCACATGGCTCACTATTGCACCTACTGCTACCCAATAGAATGTCATCTCGTTCTAGTGACAACAGCCACTCAGGACAAGAAAGTGACATCATAGAAGCTACACGTTTCTTTGGAGAAACAGACCTGTCAAGCAATTCTGCATGTTCCAGGTAATGTATATGGCTTTAAGAAATGTGGTATATGGTAATATTTCTTAGGAGTATGTAAGTATAATTTATTTAGTGATAATTCTTGATGTATTACCATAAGTTTCTGGTATTAAGACCATTTCAACAACCAAAACTGAGATAAAGAGTGTAATATGTGTACATTCCCTCAAAGAAAGAATCTCATCACGTTATGATCATCTAAAGATTTCATTAGTAAGACCACTGTACAGAAAAGAAGGGACAAAACCGGTATATCAAACTACACACCAATTTCACTCCTAACTACCTTCTGTAATGTACTTAAAAAAGTTATGCACATTAGGTTGAGCCAATATTTGCACACTAATTATATACTAGTTCTAGAAAAGTTTGGTCGCGGGAATTCAATTCAATTCAATTCATTTATTTCTTCCATAGCTGTAGAAATTACAATTGGACATGTCAGATAACAACAACATTACATCAAGCATAACATTCAAAGTACATGAATATAGAATAATAAATAATAAATACCTAAGACTAGAGAAAATATTTAAAACATATATACAGATTGTTTACAACATACAAACAGACTATTTAAAACATATTCCTGTACATATAAATAATTTATCTAAAACAGATTTATTTGTCAGCAAGCAGTCCATATCAACAGTTGTTAAAAAATTCCTGAAGAGAATAAAAGACGTTACACAACAAATAATTTTT